CTGTCTGTTACATCTTCTATCACGTCTGCAAAAAGCTTCATTTTCTTTTGTCGTTTTGCTGTTTCGACGAAGGAATGCTCAATCTCATAGTTATCTGCTACTAATTTGGACTCACTCAAGAGTGCGCCCCATTCATCTCGTAAGCTTTTCAGATCTTTAATTAGACTATTCATATTTGCCACCTCAACGTCAAGCGTCGCATCTCGTACTTGAAGCACTCTATTTCTGTGATCGATTGCTGTGAGGATTTTGAGCCAAACAGATGCCATTATCACACATTCAAATGATGCAAAGTACTTTAAAATGCCAATCAAATCTGAACGTGTTTCTGGGGTGAGGTTCATTTGAAGAACAGTTTGAACAACTTTCCTCAGTCCCCCGATGCGCGCCAAAAGGCCTGACACTGTCAACACGTGCTGACCAACGTGTCTGAGACATACTGTGCAAAGAGCTGGGAATGTTTTCCTTCAAAAGTTCCCACCTTTGTGGACTGGAGCTAAAAATGTTGTACAGCTTTTGTACAACTCCAAAGAAATTTAGGACTGTTGAACAGCTTTATGCAGAATGCACACCACACAAATTCAAACTATGACAGCCACAGGGAGAGTATGTGGCAATTGAACACTGTCTCAAAATGTGATCCTGTGCACCATTATACAGACCACACATGTCGCTACCGTTGTCTTAGTCTTAGCCTTGGCCCTGGCAGTCTGTAATTGGAATGTTTTTTTCATTCAGTGTATCAAGGATAATTTTAGCGATGTCTTTTCCTGTTTTCTTGCTACAATCTACACATTTCATAAATCTCTTCTACTTTGTAGACATTTGTATCACTGTCCAAGTGAACATAACGCAAAATAAAAACAGTTTGTTCGACGTGTGAAGAGTCGGGTGTTTCATCAACGATAATGGAGTAATATTTCGTTTCCGCTCTTTCATTCAAAATCATGTCTATCACTTTTGATAGACATTGGATGGATTCGTTTTGACTTTCTGGTAATAGATAGTGAGCTTGTAGGCGCTTTTTTTCTTTTTGTGATTTTTCAATTTTTTAAAGATGCCCTACAGAGTTCTGTGAAGTTGTCAGATATACAGCTCAACTTGCACCCAAAATATATTTTATTTCAAAACTTTGTACGGTACTCTCTCTCTCTCTCTC